ATCAAAACATTTTATGTCTTCTGTCGCGTCCTTGAGCTCGAAGTCATGAAGAATGTTTTTCAACTCCACTATGCTTCCATCACTTTTCCATCCAGAAGTTGTGCAATCGTTCCGCGACAGTACGCAATTGAAGTCACCCGCTAAGATAACTTTACTTGGGGTGTCTAAAGTTAAACGTAAGCTTTTGAAAAACGTTAAACGATCCGAATAGTTGTTTGGTGCGTAGATGGAAACTATTCTGACTAATTCTTCGCCAACCAAAACGTCTATGGCAGCTGTGCGACCATCTGCTGCTAGCTCACAGTCAACGAAACTGCAGTGGCGTGAGACTTTTCGCAGAAAGATAGCGGTCCCAGCACTTAGGCCAGAGGATGGAGCGTGATAACAATAATATGTATCCTGGAAGTAGGTGACAAGATCAATTTCTTGCTCTCTAGTTGAGATTTTGGTTTCCTGTAGACATATTATATCAATTTTGTGTTGATAAAGAATCTCTTTTAGCCATACCTTACGGCGTTGACTTATAAGGCTGGCTACGTTAAAAGTCCCGATTGTAAAAGCACCATAAGGATCGTCGTTCATTGAACGTATTAGGTGATGGAGCAAAGTGAAGCGTCTCTTACTGACTCTTCGGGTCCTTGTGGCCGGACAGGATGGAATCCTGATCGGTGATGGGAGATTCGGGAGATAGAGATTTTGTTCTCCTCTTCCTTCTCCTCTTTGACTCTGTTGAGGCAGGATCTATGGTGCACAGGATTTTGTCTCCCTTTCTTTTCCCGAGCATTTCTTTGTCGCTGGTTTCGTCCATTTCGGATGCCTCTTCCTCTGGTTGCATTGACTCTTCAGCTTGGTCTTCAGGAACGAGAGCACTGAAAGAGTTGGTGATGACAATATTGCTCACTGTCTCCTTCGTTGCAGAGCATGACGACGCCGACCTGTCTACGCACTTCTCAGTCCGGGAGGCTGCCTCGACGTAGGCTGTCCTGTGAGCGGTGCTGACTTCTACCGAAACCTCTGTTTGTGCTGTTTCTTCTGCGTCCATCAAGTATAGTCTGCAGGAATCTGGAGAGATGCAGTCGTTCGGTTGGCGTACGTTGGGACACAGTCTTCGAGATCATGGCCGAATTTTCGACATGCGCTACACCAGGGAGCACGGCACTGGCCTCGGACGTGTCCGACTTGCCTGCATCGCAGACATTGCGGTGCTCTGCCCGGCACGGAGACAAGCACGGTTGTTCCTAAAATCCTGAGCTGATGCGGCAAGCTGTCCACAGTCACACCTTCGTTCAATTCAATTGATAGTATTCTTGTGGTCGTCTCCACATCCTCGAAGCCGGAGTAGTGCCACTTGTCTCGAACGATGCTTTTTATTTTTCCAAACGTAGAGAAAGCGCTGGCCACGTTTGCATCTGGGACGGTTGTTGGAACCCAGTGCACCTTCATGGACAGCGCAGTCTTGCTCCCGTCTATTATCAAACATGTCTTGTTCTTTACATGGATCTCTCGGAGCTGCAGCAGTCTTTCTTTTTCCTTGGCAGAACGCACTGTGAGTAGCCACACATGATTGTATTGGAAGGCCCCAAGCGAAGCTAGCTCATTTGGGTGGATGATTTTCTTCAAAGCAGGACCGAAATCATCGATGCGGTATGGCCGGGCTGATGGGTCCCCATGAAGAATCAGTGAATTTTCAAGCAGCTTATCGTTGGGAAGGGGTGGCAGTAAAATCTTGTATTCCGTTGTACTTGGTGCAGAGGGGGCAGAAGCAGAAATAGTTTCAGAATATTCCCGGCTAGGCTTAGCCGTTGAGATTTCCTTTACGGAGCCCATTTCCAACGCGGCCATTCAGCTCGTCGTCTTCTTCGAACTCCCCTACGCTATGCCACCGGTTGGAAAACTCGTTGTGATCATTCATTTTATACGAGACAAACGTAGTGCATATAGCAATTTCCGGCCGAGCTGCACTCCGGAGTGCATATAGCATTACTCATTCCTAATACGGTCGAAGGCGAGAGAGAGATAAAGAGGAAACGTAGCGGCGGCGGAGGATGGCGGAGGAACTTCGCGGCCAGGGGTGTAATGTGGCCGCTACAAGTGTCTCAGCTATCGAGAAAATAGCGCGGCGTCTGCTGCCCGACGTGGCGGTGGCGAAAATAGGGAGTTGAGGTAGGTCGTTTTTTTCTTCCGCTACGGTATCCATAACGAAAACGCCGCAGGTGCGAATGCGCGCCGCCAGCCTTGTCTGCATAGTTCAAGGTCTTGTGGCGGATTACGGAGCGCCATGCGGGTGCTTAGCGGGCTGTGGAAACGGTCCACTAAAAGTCCACGTCGATCGGTTTCAGGTGCACAGCTCGGCGCCGATCGAGCGGAATGACATCATCGCGAGGCGGCAAAAGTTTCTTCACAACTTGGCACAAAATTGAGAAGGGAGACGAAACCGTTTCTTCTTCCTGACGTCTTAACTAAAAGGGGGACGGCAGGGCACGATTGTAACTTTGTCCCACAAAGCCTTGATGTGCGACAATGGTAGGACGAAGCAATCATATTGCTTACCTTATTTACCATGCGACCGATCGCAAACTGCCATACTTTGCATGAGCCCCACATTTTACAGACGAATAAAAACTTATTTCAAGGCGACGTTTAAATAGGCATCCTTCCTTTAATAACACCAGCAGAGAAGTAGGCGGAGTCCGGCGAAGCAGCACGGTGGTATAGCATAACCCGAGCACGGGGTGATCACAGCTAGAGTAACTGCATAAATGCTTCAGAGCCTATACAGTTACTCTAAGCACAATATGTTCACAGCGCCCCAATGAAACCATCGCGAGGGAAGTTCGCACCTCCGGTCTCGACGGGCAATTCGTCTACACGGTCGGCTCGACCAAGCGCGGAAACCTTGAGCAATCGTCGGTGGACATGGCGATTTCTCACGTCATCACACAGAAACCACCTAGAATAGAAGGGGATACCGACATAAATACCCAGAGAAACCACCGCGAGGAAAGCTCACAGCACCACGCGTTTGTGACGCAACTTGACGAACAGAGAAGTGGCGCCGACAAACCTACCTCCGGTATCAACACGTTCGGCTCGCGGGTACGTTGAACAGTTGTCGGCGGAGCAGGCGAATTCTCACGTCATCATACCGAAACCACTGCGCACAAAAGCGAATACCGACACAAGTCGGCGACGGGAGAGACGTGACTCGGCGAAGAAAAATCACTGCAAGAAGCCTAGCAGCAACGCACCCGGCCGACCCCGCGCGCCCAAGCTCGGCGATACCGCCCGGCGCCGCCGCCCCCAGCGTCCCGGCGTCAGAGACGGCGCGGACGGCGTTCGTTGGTTCCTTCGTCAAGCACGCAAAGAGCACGTGCTCAGCGGAGGGAAGGAAACGCGCTCGTGATTGGACACTCACTCAATGCGAAAGCGTACGTCATAATACGGGACACGTAAAAGTTGAGATAGTTGAACTCTAACCTTTACGGGTGCCGGAACTCGTGAAAACGGAGCGGTGACGTGAGAACCGGAAGCCGGCTTCCATACAGGTTCCGGCATACGAATCCGGAATACGTGCCGGTTTGGACCGTGCTGTAGTGCGGTACGCGGAACACGGTGACGGTTCGCTAAAAGTCCCTGTTAAAGAGTGTTAGGGAATCGTTTTTGCACATCCGATACGGTGAGCCCTCCAGTACGAACTGCGCGTGCGCTGCCGCAGAACACTCGCGCATGCGCAGTTCGAACCGAATAACCCATCGTAGCGTATCAAGTGTGCAAAAACGGTTCCCTAAAACTCTCTATTACCCGCGTTTTCGCATCGCTTGTCTTGCGCCTCCTGCACGAATGGTAACTTTAGTGCATCCCCGCGCTTCCCACGTGCTTCAGTCAGTTGTAGAATTGACTGATCTAAGGGTTTTCGATGACGCTCTGCAAGATTGATTAGAAACATTTGTTTATTTCCGATAATTAAAAATTTAAATAGTAAATTTCAGTTAATTAGTATGCTCATTAGTATGTAGTTTTACAATCCTTGACGTCCGTCGTGGCTGGCAGTTTGTTCCTGAAAAAAGTTTCTTTCTCAGCCACCCTAGTTGTAAGAATTGCTGAAGTCTTCGCAAAAGCAACAGGTGTAAAGCCGTCACGTTGTCACGTGCCGCTGTGACATCACGTAACGTCATGGTGTCCCGTAATATCGCTGTGTGGCGTGAATATCATGATGTCACGCCACGTCACTGTCACGAGACGCTAAAGGCTCTGTTATATTCCGAACGCACATGTGATGTTCTGTGTCTCGTGTTGACTTTATTTGGGAGACTAACACGGCATTCCAGCTGGCCTCGCCCACCTCGTCGAGTTGGGAGGGGTCACACCACCAGCGACCGAGTGCTGCCCGACGGGTGTCGAACGGCCCGTTGCTTCTCGCAGCCGATAACGGCTTGCAGGTGCAGTTCCAGACTCACTGGCAAGCTGATCAACTCTGGTGCTGGCTCTATTCTGGAGGCTCCTGTTGCACAAGTTACCGCTTGTGCAAGAGGAGTAAAGCTGACGATGCGAAAATGCGGGTGACAAGAGAAGAAAAAGAAAAAAAAAAAAAACGACGGACGTGCGCGTTTTTGAAAATTTAGGCTTGCGCTTGTTGTGACGAACGATAACTTTAGCTCGCCACATGGGCTTCCCATGCGCTTCAATTTGTTTTCCAGATTTAACTAATGTTAAGGTCTTCAGTGACGCTCAGCAATTTCGTATTTTTGTAACCATGTGTATATTCATTAACTAAAATGATAATTATCAAGTAATTGTTAATTATCCGACTTATCTTGACAATGAGCCCCTTGTAATATGTGCCCCTGGAATACACCATATATTTTAATGCATTTTTCTTTGTAGTTAAAAGGTCGGAATCACACATTAATTATTTTCCAGACTTGTTATAATCTAAAATTACTTTCCCTTTATTTAAACATCTATTTCAATTTATGTTTAACATCTCAAGGTGATCTTACGTTTGTGAGGTTTTGCATTGTCTCGTATTCTGGTTTGTTCCATGGACGGTTTGTCGTCGCAGCAACAGTCGTACATAAAAAGAAGAAGAATAGCCACACTGTCATCTTGTTAACAAAGGCAGTTGCTTTGAGGGCGCTGTTTTCCTGGAGAATTTAGATACTGCAATAAACAAAAATATTATACGACTAAAAAACTCGTGTACGGCGATTTCAGAGAGATGTGATACACAATCGTCCATAGAATTGAGGACATGTATTGATTTCAAATTATGTAATTATAAAAACTTCGTATTTATGTTCTAGCAGAATGTGTTCCTGATGACAGAATGCATTTTCCAGCAGGCTTCTCCACTATAAATGTATTTTAATCACTTGAGATGTACAGTACATAAGGAATACAATTATTACATGTCTGAAATTTCGTCTTGTTTCAAAATGTATACGTCTTGTAAGTAAAGTAGGAAGTTTGCCAAGACTTAGGAATCTCCTTCCTCGAAAAGTTGTTCAGTATAATTAAGCACATTATTGATAATTTTTATATCAGCCTCCTGCAAAAGTTTGCTCTGTTGAATTGAAATATCAGAGATCAAGGTTGATTACACATAGCACATGGAGGTCGCAGATCGGTCTCGTACTCCTGAACTTTTTTTTTTTTTTTTTTGTATATAACTTTTAGCAGAATGTTTTAAAATACCGAGAGCGAGAAGAAACAAAAAATATGGACTGGTGGATGCGCAGTGCAGATAATGTAAACTTTTGAGCATAGTATGATATTTTCGAGCTGTCCCAAAGTTCCCAAGCCAACCTCCCACAGTTTTTAAATAAGTGTTGAGGAATCGTTAAAATTCTTGCAGTAGCGTTCTTGGTATGACTTAGGATGTTTATTTGTTATTCTTGCAATCATCAACATAACTAATTTTGTATTTTATTTTTTTTTAATGGGAACTTAATGGTTTTTGTATTGTTGTTGCTTTTGGTTCATTTTTCTGACTCTTTGTTATAGTGAATAAAGACATGGCTTATGGTCCCATATATGCGAACCGTTATTGCTAAAAGCGCTCAAAAAGTAAGTGGGTGTTTGCAATAAAAGGATTGCTAAATGAAAATGCGGAGAGCAACTGCATCTTGCGCAGGAGTGGCGGTGACGTCAGAACGACGTTGAGCTGTTATTGGTTGATTTAAAAAAAATAGTGGGTAGACCTTAAGGCATCTAACGTTGAGGTCTACCCACTATTTTTTTTAATCAGCCAATAAGAGCTCGGCGTCGTTTTGACGTCACCGCCACTCCTGCGCAAGATGCAGACTACTTGCTTTTCGCATAGACTGTTGCAAAGCATAAGATCCAAAACAGATTCTCATAAAATAATGCTGATCCAAAACAAATGTTCATAAAATAGTGCTGGTGCGCGTCATCCCTAGAGGGATGACAGCGCACCAGCATCATGCAATAGGGACAAACTGAACCACCAGAGGCACGCTGTCATCCCTAGAAGAAACCAATACGAATAGAATTAGAAAAGCCTATAGGGCAAACAACTGGACAAAAACGCGTCTCTCCGCTCATGAGAAAAGAAAGTTTTAGAGAGATTGATCACGTGTGCGTCCAAGCTCCGCCCCCAGCACACACGGGTATGGTCCAAGTCATGCTCGAATGCATTCGAGTTACTCCGATAGGTCATGCCACACGACCACACAGAGAGCAACGCCGAACGCGGGTAGGTTTTTGAACGTCAAGGTACAAACACTTCACCCTAGAATGAAATCGAGTAAATATTGGAACAGGGCCTCCGTTCTCTTCGTGGTAATCAGTGAACTCGGCTGTGAGTTCTTCGTTCGTGGTAGTTTGTCTGTTAGTTGTTAGTCGACAAAACAAAGTACAGTCCGTGCAGTCGCGGTTCATGTGAAGGTGACCTGCGATTGTCTACTACTCCGTACAGCAGCGCCATTAAGCGACGGCCGTCCTGGCGTGTGGGCGTTTTGCGAAATCAGTGCGGTAAGGCACGGAAGCCGCGACAGCTGGCGTTTTATGACGCTACCCGAAGCAGTCGACAATCGCGTGTTCATCTTCATATGGATCGCGCCTGTGCTCACTGTTACAAGTCTCAGACGACACCGGAACTGGGTCTCAATGTTGGACACTCGGCAAAAATGTCGACGAGATTTTGACCACCCGATTGTCAGTGCCGCGCTTCGCGCCGGCCAATCGCAGCGGTCAGAAACCTCACCGCCCTTCTTGCCCAGTGTCCAACCTAGAGCCCCTGGGCGGCTTGTCGTCCACTCCACAGTAACTCCTGCCCAAGTAGCAGACGAACTTCACCTAATTTTGCGTTCTAGAGTTTGGCGCTGGGAAGTTCGGCCCTTGTGCTCATCCACGATATCCTTTAAATCAGAGGGCAGCTCTATGACGCTATAAGCCTCTGCGAAGCAAGCGAATAAGCTTGCTCGCCGTACCTCTGTTTCATACTTAGCGTGCAATGCTGTCAAAGCTCCTGGCGCGAACGCGTGGCTTCACCTAGCTTCTGATTTGTTCAACCGCGTGCAAATGAAACGTAAAATCAAAAGTAAAATTAGGGGTTTTCTTACGTGCCAAACCAACGACGGGCATCTGGCACGCCCCAGCGGAGTACTAAGGGTTAATTTGGACCACCTGGGGATCTTTTGACGTGCAACCGAAAGCTCGGTCACACGGCGCCTTCTCCGCAATAAGCCTCGGTCAGATTGCAAGCACCTCGACCGCTATTCGAACCCGCCATCTGGGGATCCGTAGGCCGGCTCTTTGCCTCGGCCCCACCGAGGCGGTTTGAACCGCAAAATCAAGACGAGCTCGCGCTAGCTACTTCGACAATATTGCACACTAAGTATGGAAGAAAGTAGTCGCCTGAAGATCACACCGAGTGTTCAATAAGAATTAGCAACGTTTTTCAGTTTCTTAGAAAAGCGTCGATTGCTGCCACCTATGCCAGCGTCGCAAGTATGGCTAAGGCTGCCGACACGCTCGAGACGCAGCTGCAGGGCGCCGGCGCATAAGGTGAAAATGTCCCAACAAGTCCTAAACCAGAACAATTAACGGTGTCAGAAACACATTTCTTTAGAATCATAAAAATGTCTGTCTGTCTCAAAATTCATCTTTATCAGTCTCAAAAAGACTGCTTCCCTTTGCGTGCATCGGTTTCTCAAAACCTTCACTGGGTGTATCTAGCCGTACCGGTAATGATGGTCAGTGCCACCTATTGTAAGAAATTTAGCATAGAGTTATTATAATGTACGCTAGAGGTTCAACTGGCGCTAGTGTGCTGCTGCAAATTGAAGCAGACAGCAACCAGTCGGAAATTGACTTCCGGTAATGCTTTTCTGTGGGAAAAAGCGAGTGCATTTTCTCGCTGCGCTTGATTACAAGAGCAAATATCACAAATATTTCGTACGTACTAGGCACATTGGAACATTTCTCAGTCACGCAGACGAAATAATTGGTCAGTTAGGACATTTTTATTTGGAATTCGTGGCATGAAAAACGGTGCTAAAACCGTTTCGTACATGTATTTGTGTGCACTGCCGGACACTGTTAAGCGCGAACACGGCGTCGGCGCTTTCCGCCATGGGGGATATACGTGTCAAACGAACGAAGGACATGTAGAAAACCAAGAGAGACGGCAAAAACTACGCAGTAACACTGGATAAGTAACTCCTTGCGCATGCAGGCGATCAAAATAAATTGAAAGCCACGTAATATAGTCCGGTTTGCAATAAATAAGTACTGCTTTATTTTTTCCGCCCGTGAATATGTGCGAAAGTGCATGTTCTGGGTTCAAATCATCAACAACACGCTCCAAATCTTTACAAATAGGGAAAGGTCAGAGAACAGGTGCCCGATAAAAACTGCCTGACATAGGAAATAATAAAAAGACAAACCTTTCGTAGCCCACGTGCTTTATATTTTTACATTCGAATGTTCTTTAACCGATCGTAAAGATGCACGACAGAGTCATACTCATAGAGTGACAGGACGAACATATTAGCAATATATAACCGGCACCGGAATGCTAGCGAACATTGAACACACTCTACATTCCTTTCGATCGTTAGTTAGCTCAGCATCGTCGCTCGTTTTTACATACCTGCCATGGAACAGAGGTTTGGGCTTGGAATATAGCGAAGTTAAGCCTCGTTTATCGATGAAGGAAAATGCGCTAACTAAACCAATTACACTTTTACAATGTTCATAAAGATACATACTATTCGGTACGACTTAAATAACAAAACTGTTCCATATTATTTTCCGGCTAAGATACAAAATGCACGCGCATTTTCCCATAGGAATGCACAGCAGCACGGTAAAAGTAGACTGGTTGCTGTCTGCTTCAATTTGCCTCCCGGAAGTCGCATAGACACTAGCGCCATTTCAACCTCTAGCGTACATTATAATAACTTTATGAAATTTACGAAGGTGGAAATCAGAATATTTACGGACCAGAGATGTCTTCGGACTGTGCTCAGGGGTACTTGTTTACGCAGTTTTTGAGTTTACTTCTTTTAACGCGAGCATTAGTGCTCGGTACATGCGCTGACCTTGGGCTGGTCTGGACTCACCACAGCCGCACTGACTGTGGAAACTGACTAGGAAACGCCTTCTGCAAGCGCCGACGGATGGCGGGCGGGGTGCGCGTGAACAGGGGCCTTTAGCGTGCGCCGCGTGCGCCAGAGAATAAACGGCTCTGGTGTGCGCGCTTTGGACGCACTTGGAAACTCCTGCCGCCGGCTTTGGAGATGCCAAAGTCTTGGAAATTACCGTTTTCTGTTTTAAAAGTTATCGATAAAATTGAAAATACGCAGGCGAGATGGTGAATTAACTTCATAATAAAAATGAAAAAAAAAAAAATCCGAGACCGGGAAAAGATAAAATAACGGACAAGCACACGCACCGTCTCAAAGTTATGTGATTTTCGGAAACTATCAATAATAAAATAATGCCTGTTTTCGGTGGCCAACGCCATTTACCAGTTTGGCGCTCATTTCCTATTTCATATTTTAAAAATTGCTTCGTCAATTAGTAGATCGCGTTCGTCAATGAGAAGTTTATTTTTGAGATAAGAAACTGACATTTTTTA